ATACCATTGTTATAAAATTGAGAGGATGAGTATTTGTTGATTGGCAATTAACTGTATTTTAATTTTTTGTTTGTCTTGAGGAGATTTATGCAAAAGCAAATGTTTTTTTTTCTCATAAAGTTATTAATTCAAATAAGAATTATAATTTTTTTCTACATATTTTATATACTTTAAGATAGTTGTCCATCTTATTTATCATGATATAGTTGTCAAGTGATAATTTTTTTTTTTTTGAGCTGGGAGTTGGGAGGGTGGGTGTGTCTTGCAGTGGTGGGTTATTGATCAGCCAGCCAGGACTAGCTCTGCCTGTGGTGTCTGGGCTGGCTGACACTCGGTTCACACCCAGCTTGGATTACAGGGCTGTGTCTGAAGGAGGAGTCTTGTAGTAGAGGTGAACAGTGGCTGTGATTTGTTGTGACATTGGAAAGGGTTTTAAGCTCCAGGCGAGGGTGGAGGAGCAGGTGAAGGTGTTGTGGGTAATTTGTTTGATGTATTGTATTTGTAAAATAGTTGTACACACACACACACACACACACACACACACACACACACACACACACACACACACACACACACACACACACACACACACACACACACACACACACCTCTGTGCTGCACACATGCACATGCTGCACACTCACACTCACACTCACACTCACACTCACACTCACACTCACACTCACACTCACACTCACACCTGTGCTGCACACATGCACCTGTGTTATCCACGCAAACTGCTACATACACACTCACACAAACTAGTACTACACATATTTGCTGCACACACATCTACAGATGTGCTCTACACCCACATACTGTGGTTTATAAAAGTAAATCTTTCACCTGTTCATAAACCCCTGTCCATTATTAATTCTAAGATGACACTCTTCATCTTAGGCTTAATGGTCTAAAGTCTCATCAACAAAAAGCAGTTGTTGTTTGGATCATAGTTTATAGACCTAAAACCAAGGATCACCTATCCTTTATGTATATTATGTGCGCAGTATTTGTAGGATATATATATATTTTTTTTATGTGTATAAAACTGGAAAGAGAAACATGTAGTAAGATGAAATATTCCTTTTTACTTACAGGAGTCTTGAAGGAAGTCTTGGATTTGCATGAATAGCCGTCTCATGCAAGTTTCAAGCTTTGCCCTCAAGAAATTAGAATACGCTTGAGCAGCTGTTTTTAGATTGCATAGAGAATCATAGAGCTAAAGCCGTCAGATAAGCTAACATAACTCAAGATGGAGGGAAACATTGTTGTGAAGGAAGTGCGGATCCTGGAGACTGCTGATGACATCCAGGATCGACGAGAGCAAGTGCTCTCTCGGTACTCTCAGTTCCGTTCGGATGCTCGCCTGAAGAGGGAAAAGCTTGAGGATTCTCGCAAGTTCCAGGTATGTTTAGTTTGTTGAAGCTGCTTGATATATGTATGTATTTTTTTTCTCGTGGAAATAAATATAAATGTGAAATTAATGTTGATTTTTAGTGAGTTTAAGGTATAGGTATTCTCATTTGTTTTTGATAGTATTTATATAAATTTTGTCAATTTTCACTTCACAGTTATTGTCCTTTTCCCCTTCTGTTCTTCTCCCTCCCCATTAACTTTCTTTTTTGTCTCGTATTTCAGTACTTCAAACGTGATGCTGATGAACTGGAATCATGGATCCACGAGAAACTCCAGGCTGCTTCTGACGAGAGCTACAAGGATCCCACCAACCTTCAGGCTAAGATCCAGAAGCACCAGGCCTTTGAGGCTGAGGTGGCTGCCCACTCCAATGCCATTGTGGTCTTGGACAACACTGGCTCAGAGATGATCAGTCACCAGCACTTTGCCTCGGATGTCATTAGGCAGAAGCTTGGTAAGTGTCTTGTGCTTAGATATGTTCAAAGCTAATTATATGTGTACATTTTTGTATGATGTGAATATTTTTAATTTTGTGATTATTGTGTTTTGTGATTCTTAATTTATTGAAAGTTGGAAATGTTTTTATACAAGCTGTACTCACAGTGGATTTGTTTTATTGATTGTATTTACATGTAGAAGGCTTTTTAAAGCTTAATCACCAAGGAATTGTGTGCTAGGCCAATCTGGCCTCCCCTGATCCTTGAATTTTCCTGAAGGAAAGTTTATATTGCCTTTCCATTATTGTTAATAACATAAAAATAATTATGATATTAATAATGAAAACACTATTAGAAATAGAAACTTAATCTGGATCTGAAGAGTTTAAAGGAATGGGATAGAAAGGTGAAATTAGGTAGGCCTTGTAACTGATTCGTTGGTGAATAACCCTTGCCGATGGGTCATGCACTGAAGTGTCATAACAAACCGCTTGATCTATGGAGTGCGGCTGTATGCCGCGGCAACATGCCAAAGCGCAACGAGCAGGGGGTTTGGCTTGATTTACCAAACTCCTGTGCTCAAAGTTGGCTTGTTGCCATAAATCTCCAGAGTGTAGATTTAAAAAAAAAAATTCTTCACCCATTATTAAGGGGTTAAGCAATTGTGATGCTACATTTTCGTAAAGAAAATTGATAAATCAAACCACTGTAGACTGCATGTACCCAGTTTTAAAAATATACAATGCATTTTAACAGATGAGTTACACCGTCTGTGGGAGCTTCTCCTGAGGCGTCTAGCCGACAAGGGCATGAGGCTCCAACAGGCCCTGGTACTGGTGCAATTCCAGCGGCAATGTGACGAAGTCATGTACTGGATCAATGATAAGGAGACGTTTGTAACTTCGGAGGAATTTGGCATTGACTTGGAGCATGTGGAAGTTCTCCAGCGCAAGTTTGATGAGTTCCAGAAAGACATGGCTGCCCAGGAATACAGGGTCACTGAGGTTAACACCTTGGCCGAAAAGCTGATTACTGAAGGCCACCCCGAAGTGGATGTCATCAACAAGAGGAAGAAGGACCTGAACGAGGCCTGGCAGCGACTGCGTCAGTTTGCTCTCACCCGACAGGAGAAATTGTTTGGTGCCCATGAAATTCAGAGATTTAACAGGTAATGCAGTTATTGAATAAGACAGAAGAAAAAGTTGATATTGGTATCATTTCTGTGATGCATGTTTCTTAATGCCTTGAGTAAAAATGGGTGTGATATTATAGAATCCTTAGCTTTACTTGAACAGATCTGAATAACAGTTTTGAACTATGGCAGATATGTTACTAATTGCACGTTATTTTAATTAATTGTTATTGATTCCATTTCATGTTACAATCAGGGATTTGATTTGGCAAAAAGAAATGCTTTGAATGAAGATTATTTATCTTAAAAAGCATTTTATGTGTAGATCATTAAATTTCCTATTGCGAAAATTTCGAAAGTGTAGTAGAGTGTAATGGATATAAACTCTATAACCAAAAGCTTGTGTTTTTCTATGCTTAAGATGGAAAATTAAATGGCAAGGGAATATGGAGTCCTTAGTAAAGGAAAAAAATAGAATGGAGTTGTATAATGAAAATTTCAAAGGAAGTCAAATTACAAGGAAATTCTTTTCAAAATTTGTTTTGTATAACCATAATTTTAATTAGTTAGCCCTACAAACGAGTTCTTTTGGTTTTAATTGCATGCAGAAACACACACACACACACACACACACACACACACACACACACACACACACACACACACACACACACACACACACACACACACACACACACACACACATACATACATACATACATACATACACACACACACACACACACACATACACATTATATTAATTTCTTTTACTTTATTTCATGGTTTTATTTATGGCTTATATATATATTTATACTTCTATTGTGATGATAATGATAATAGTGATCATTGTTGGTATTATTATTATTACTGTAATTATCATTATTATTATGGTAATTACTATTACTATTGGTGTTATTGATATTATTGGTATTATCATTATTACTATTATTAGTATTATTATTATCATTATCATTATTATTATTATTATTACTACTACTACTATTATTATTATTATTATTATTATTATTATTATTATTATTATTATTATTATTATTATTATTATTATTATTATTATTATTATTATTATTATTATTGTTATTATTATTATTATTACTATTACTATTATTACTATCGTTATTATTAATATTATCATTATCATTTTCATCAGTGTTATTACTTTTACATATCATGAGTCGAGACATTAATTCAGTTATTGTTATTGTTATTGTTTATAATTTTAGTCTAAAAGCTTATTTTAAAATTATTTTTAATTGCTTTATTTTAATTTGTTTACTTTGCTTTACTCATAAGTAATGTGACATTCCAGGGATGCAGATGAAACCATTGCTTGGGTAGCTGAAAAGGATGTAGTTTTGTCCTCTGATGACTATGGCCGTGACCTAGCCTCTGTCCAGACCCTCCAGCGCAAGCACGAAGGTTTAGAGCGTGACCTTGCTGCTCTGGAGGACAAGGTGTCCACCCTAGGGGAAGAGGCCACTCGTCTCTGTGGCATCCATACTGACCACGCTGAGCAGATCAAGGCTAAACTAGCAGAGATTGAGCATTCTTGGTCTACTTTGACTGCCAAGGCCCAGGAACGACGCAGGCGCCTGGATGATTCCTACTATCTGCATAGGTTCCTTTCCGACTTCCGTGATCTCATCTCGTGGATCAATGACATGCGGGCAATCATCTCTGCAGATGAGCTGGCCAAGGATGTTGCTGGAGCTGAAGCTCTTCTTGAACGCCACCAAGAGCACAAGGGTGAAATTGATGCCCGTGAAGACAGCTTCAAGAGCACTCATGCTGCCGGTGAGATGCTGGTAGAAAAGGACCATCATGCTGCAACTGAGGTGAAAGAGAAGCTGGGCACCTTGACACAAGAAAAGGCTGCTCTCCTTGCCTTGTGGGAGGAGCGACGCATCCTGTATGAGCAGTGCATGGACCTGCAACTCTTCTACAGGGACACTGAACAGGCTGACACCTGGATGGCCAAGCAAGAAGCTTTCCTGGAGAATGAGGACTTGGGAGATTCCATTGATTCTGTTGAAGCTCTGATCAAGAAGCATGAGGACTTTGAGAAGTCTCTTGCTGCTCAGGAGGAGAAGATTAAGGCTCTGGATGAATTTGCAACCAAGCTCATTGAGGGCCAGCACTATGCAGCTGATGATGTTGCCCAGAGGCGTGAACTGCTGCTTGAGCGGCGCACTGCTTTGCTGGAGATGTCTGCACGCCGCCGAGCCATGCTAGAGGATTCTTACCGGCTGCAGCAGTTTGAGAGAGACTGTGATGAGACCAAGGGATGGATCAATGAGAAGCTTAAATTTGCTACAGATGACAGCTATTTGGATCCAACCAACTTGAATGGAAAAGTGCAGAAACACCAAAACTTTGACCAGGAACTGAGTGCCAACAAGTCTCGTATTGAGGAAATCATATCAACTGGCAAAGAACTCCTGGAAAGCAAGCACTATGCCAGTGAAAGGATTGGTAGTCGTATGGAGGAAATAGTTCAGCTCTGGACCTCCCTTGAGGAAGCTACACGCAGCAAGGGCTCAAAGCTTGAGGAGGCTTCTCAACAGCAGCAGTTCAACCGAGGAGTGGAGGATATTGAGCTCTGGCTTTCAGAGATTGAGGGCCAGCTTATGAGTGAAGATTATGGAAAAGACCTGACTGGAGTGCAAAATCTTCTGAAGAAGCATGCCCTTCTGGAAGCAGATGTCAGCTCCCACCAAGACAGGATTGATGGGGTGCGCATTGCTGCAGATCAGTTTGTTGACCGCGGACATTTTGATGCTGAGAACATCAAGGCTAAGCAGCTAGCTCTGCAAGAGCGCTACAATGCTCTTCAGAAACCAATGGGTCTCCGCAAGGAACGACTCAAGGACTCTCTCCTTGTACAGCAGCTTTTCAGGGACATTGATGATGAAGAGGCCTGGATCAGGGAAAAAGAACCCATTGCCGCTTCCACCAACCGAGGTCGGGATCTGATTGGAGTCCAAAATCTTATCAAGAAGCATCAAGCTGTATTGGCAGAAATTAACAACCATGAACACCGCATCACTGCTGTTACTACCTCTGGGGAAGAGATGATTGGAGATGGACATTTTGCAGGTGAAGAGATCAAGCAGAGGGTGAATACTCTGAGCCAGCACTGGGCACAGTTGAAGGAGCGTGCCAACCAACGTCGTCAGGATCTCGAGGATTCCCTTCAGGCACACCAGTACTTTGCTGATGCTAATGAAGCTGAATCTTGGATGAAGGAGAAGGAACCCATTGCTGCAGGTGGGGACTTTGGCAAAGATGAAGACTCAGCTGAGGCTCTGCTGAAGAAGCATGAGGCTCTCATGAGTGATCTGGAGGCCTTCAGCTCAACAATCACTGCCCTTGATGAACAGGCTGCAGCTTGTCGCCAGCAGGAGGTCCCAGTTATGGACATCACTGGAAAGGAGTGTGTTGTGGCTCTCTATGACTACACTGAGAAATCTCCAAGGGAAGTTTCCATGAAGAAGAATGATGTGCTCACTCTTCTCAATGCAACCAACAAGGATTGGTGGAAGGTGGAAGTTAATGACCGCCAAGGCTTTGTGCCAGCTGCATATGTCAAGAAGATTGACTCAGGCCTAACAGCCTCCCAGCAAAACCTGGCTGACAGCAATTCTATTGCTGCTCGCCAAAACCAGATCAAGGTGAGATTTTCTATGTTTTGAGTGATGTAAAAGGGAAATGTGTGTGAGAATGTCTCCTTTTTTAAGATTTATTCTTTGCCATTTCACTTACTCTGAATTTTCAATTCCAGGCACAATATGAGAATCTGATGGCCATGGCTCGTGAACGCCAAAAGAAGCTTAGTGAGACTGTGCAGGCCTATGTGTTGGTGCGTGAAGCTGCGGAGTTGGCTCAGTGGATCAAGGACAAGGAGCAGCATGCCCAGATTGAGGATGTTGGTGAAGACCTTGAGCAGGTTGGTGAACTGATTGCTAGGCCACATACTGTGGGACTTGATACAGTACAAAGAAATGGGAAACAAAGTAATAAGCCAATGGAAAAATTTTAAGTATATTAGTGTGTTTATTGGTATATGATTGTGTTTGAACACTCTCTGCCTTGCCTCCTCTGCCTTTCTCCTATCTTACTTTTCTCCTCTACCTTTCCCTCTCTGCTTTTCCTTTTCAGCCTTTTCTCTTCTCTCATCTTTCTCTCTTTGTCTGTATCTTGTTCCATCTTTTCCTTTCCTTCTTTTTCCCCTTTTTCTCTTCCTTCTCCTCCTCTCCTTCTTCTCTTTCTCTCTTTCTTCTCTCCTCCTCTTCTCTGTCTTCTCCTCTTTCTCTCCTTCTCCTATTTTTTGCCTTCTCTTTCTTGCATTTTCCTCTTTCTCCCCCTTCTCCCCCTTCTCCCCCTTCTCCCCCTTCTCCCCTTTCTTTCTCTCCTCCTCTCTCTTCCTCTTCTCTCTCTCCTTTCTTCTCACCTCCTCTCTCTTCTCTCATCTCTCTTCCTCCCCCCCTCCCTCCCTCTCTCTCTCCCTCTCTCTCTCCCTCTCTCTCCCTCTCTCTCCCTCTCTCTCCCTCTCTCTCCCTCTCCCTCTTCTCTGACAAAGATGCATTTATGCATGAAATACATTTATTGTTCCTCTCAGGTTGAAGTACTGCAGAAGAAGTTTGATGACTTCAAAACTGACTTGCAAGCCAATGAGGTTCGCCTTGCTGAGATGAATGAGATTGCAATGCAGCTGATGAGTCTTGGCCAGACAGAAGCTGCTCTTAAGATCCAGACTCAGATTGAGGAGCTCAACACTAAATGGAATTCACTTCAGCAAATGGCACAGGTTGGTTTCCTGGGAAGGACCCTAAACATCTGATAAGATTTTGCAGCTACCTTATCTTGCATACTGTGAAACTTTGTTGTTATTTAAGTTTTGATATTGTGTAGTAACTGTAACATAATTTTTTAGGAGCGTCAGTTCCAACTTGGATCAGCTCATGAAGTGCAGCGATTCCATCGTGATGTAGATGAAACCAAGGATTGGATCCAGGAGAAGGATGAAGCTTTGAACAATGATGACTGTGGCAAAGACTTGCGCTCTGTACAAGCTCTACAGCGCAAACATGAAGGTCAGTTTTACTGCAGGTGAAATGAATGAGAGAATGAATTGTTACGATTGTGTGTGTATGTTATCAGGGAACAAAAGCTTCCACTAAGTATGCCACACTTTCAGGTCTGGAGCGTGATCTTGCTGCCCTTGGCGACAAAATCCGCCAGTTGGATGAGACTGCCAACCGACTCATGCAGACCCATCCTGATGCTGCTGACACCATCTATGGAAAGCAGAGGGAGATCAATGAGCTGTGGACTCAGTTAACTGCAAAGGTATACTTCTTGGAGTTTTGCTTTCTTCCACTTGTTTAAATCAGCTCTCCCTGAGTCCCAGGTTATTTTAATTTAATCACATATCATACTTTGTTATCTGATATTTACTAAGCTTTATCAATATTATTGTTTTTCTTTGTTTTCTTTGTGATAATATAAAAATACAAATTACTGACTGACCCAAAAATTTTCCAGGCCAATGCCCGCAAGGAGAAGCTCTTGGACTCTTATGACCTGCAGCGCTTCCTCAGTGACTACCGTGATCTGAGCTCTTGGATTGCTTCCATGATGGGTCTTGTTAGCTCTGATGAGCTGGCTACAGACGTGACTGGTGCTGAAGCCCTTCTGGAGAGACATCAGGTAGAGTGACACTTTTGCTATGGTTTGTGGTGTGCCTATAGATATTGGTCAGGGCATCTGTCTGTTGTTGGGGAGATGCACATTTTGTCATTTGTCTCAAATCTGGTGATGTAGCTTTAGATTGCTAAGTTCTTGTGCAACTCTCAAGCCAGACTGGATGCCACTGTCCAATATTTCCCTCGTAATACTAAGCCCTCAAGTTTGTTGTTTGTTTATTAAATTGATGTTCCCTTTAGATAATGAGATTGTATATGGAAGATTGACTACATCAGTGCAGTTTTGAGTTGTAAATATTTGTAGGGGAAAAAATTAACAACTAGTTCTAAATGAGTAGGGAGTTATTAAATTATTTACAGGTGGAAGGACAAGTTCAAAAGACGGCCAGGTGATCAAATTGTAAAATAATTATAGCTGTAGAGTGGGGGTTCCTAGCAAAGTAATCAGTATCCTCACTCCCCTAGTTATTAAAACCTCATGGGCCATGTGTGTTCTATCTAATATTAAAAAAAAGGATCATGAGTTCAGGTTCTTTTAAATGTTTACATCATTAAAAACTTTCTCATTTTCCTTTTATATAAAAAAGTAACTGTGAGGAATCCTTGTCTTCTAACATATTTAAACTAGTTAAGTGAATAGCTTAAGTGACTCTACCAGTGGTAACAAGTCACCTTCCTTTTCTAGAACTTCCGTGCCGAGTTTGACTCTCGCTATGGTATCCCTCAGGTATTGAGTTGTGTCGTAGGTTGTCTAGCGCACTCTACTGACTGCTGTGTTCTCTCCTTTGAGTGTTTATTGGGCCATGGGCAGTGCTCTAGTTATGTATTAGATGCTGGGTACTAATGACTTCAGCCTGTGTTTGGCCACATATGTAGATTATTACTGCAGGAGGGCATTTACTGTAGCTTGAAAATTTTCTCCTTTTTATTTATTTATTTATTTTTATCTCATGTCATCTTGTGAATTAAGCATCAGTCAGTGCCCTTCTCTTGTACTTTTTTTCTGTAAATGTAACTGATAATAGCATGGGTACTATTTTGGAAGTCATATGTCCATTTTGCACTGTAAGAGTGGTAGGAGCTCTTGCTGTTAACAAGTGAGGTAATTATGTCACACCTGTTCAGGACAAGCTGAACACAGAGAATGTTTGGAGCAGAATCAGACTAAAAACAACAGTGTTTAGAGACACAATTAGGAGCCAATATCTATTTGGTTGTTAAGGTGGTAGGACATCCTATACAATATACATGTCTTGTTCATAATGATTATTAATGTGTGTAGTATGCCAATACTAATATTTGTTTCTTTAACCCATTTAAGCAGCTGTATTACTTGTTAGACAGGATATATAGATATATATTTTATATATTTTTTGATGAGATCTGTTTGAGCTTCAGAATTTTTTTATGAAATACAATTGAAAGATGGAAGATGTAAATGTTAGTATATATGCATCAGTAATCATCCACACAACTCTACATGTATGGGTACATCAACCTGTACATATATTGCTCACACTTTAGCACTCACTCTAAGTAACTTGAAGCCAACACACATCTTTAATATGACTGATGATACAAAATATGGTGGTGGGAATACTGGATGAGAGGAAATTGTGGTGAATTTCCTGTTTCAGACAAACTTTCTGTTTTTTTATTTGTATGCCTTTATTTTTTTCAGCTTTTAGCCCTAACAAATGGCTCTAGAGATGGCTATGATAGCAGCTTTGATAGCATTGTTCTAATTGACCTAACAAAATGTGTGACTTGACGTAGATAGAGAAGATAGTTAGCTAAACTAATCAGTGATTGAGACCTCCGAAACTGATGAACATGTCTTGTTCTATGACCAGCTTGATGGAGTGTGTGAGATGATAATTTGATTTAAACTACACCTGAAAAGTAATACTTAGTCATCCTGATGTGATGTGGAGCGAGTTTTCACACACTTACCTACATCTGGGCATTGTCTGTGGATGTGATTCTGTGGAGCTGGAATGTTTTTTAAGAACTGGAATACTATTGCAATCTTTTTATGGGAATGTGATATTGATAATATTGATGATAGCAATAATGATAGGAGTAATAATGATAATAAGTATAATGAGTGAAATGAATAAAGATGATAGTGATATTCAACCCTGTCATTATAAGGTATGGCAGACAGCAAAATTGCTGTTGTTTATCATATGTCATGCACTAGCAATTCTCTTGGTACTTTGTCTAATTTCTGACGGACAGGTGGAACTTACTGAAAGGGCTGATATTGGTGATGCTAATAAAAAAAGAATATCTGAAATAGGTTTGGACAGCAAGAGTGATTATATTATGGATGTGTTAATTTCATATTGAGGATCACAACTATCTCAAGATTTGGACTAGATTTCAACACACTGCAGGTTGTTACTTTATGAGATTGACTTCACATCAACACCTTGGCACAGAGAAGCACTAAGCACTGTAATTCTTTCTCATTTAAGCTATAGTATCTGTTATTTAACACATTCCCAAGCACAGTTGAGCACAGATCATTCAGAATTTTGCTGCATGGAAAAATTGTGTAATATAAGTTAGTTCATAATTGCAAAATTAAGGTCAGTTAATTTTACAAATGTGCCAAATTCTTAGTGAAAAAGAAAAGTAAATAAATGATAATAAAAAAAAACAAGAAACCATCTTGATATAATACCATATAAAGAAGTTCAGAATATGATGTATATAATTTGTCAAACATTAATCAAGTTAGTTTTTAAAATCATATAATGAGTAGTATGAATTGAATAATGTCTTAAACAGATATGCAATTTTTCCAATATATGATCACAGATCAGAAAAGAACCATAGTGCCAAATATATATATTAAAATTTTGAAAAGCATGAACATTACAGAATAGACAGTTTTGTTTCATAAGAATAACCTGGTGTGCATTATGTAGTCTTTTTTTTTATATAATTCATTTTATTTCTTTATTCTCTATTAACAGAGAATACAAACATTTCCATTATCTTTTTTGAATAACACCAAATTGGGGCAGTGACCATGCAGATATGACCATCTTTCGTTTAAGGAACATACTGCCCATTGACCATGATATTAACCTCCTCCTGTTGGCTTTCAGGAACACCGCACAGAAATTGATGCCAGAGCTGGCACCTTCCAGGCTTTCGAGCTCTTTGGTCATCAGCTCCTGCAGTCGGGCCACTTTGCCTCTGCTGAAGTGCAGGAGAAGCTGGACGCCATGAACGAAGCTCGGCAGGAACTCGAAAGGTAAATTTTGAGTATTCGGTTGGCTTTTTAAGAATAGGCAGTTGTTGATACCTTCTACAAAACTCCTAGATTAGTTTATGTTGGCATTGAACATTGTTATTGTAACATTGTAATTATTGTATATTGTATTATCTACAATTCTATTGACATTTTATGAATCTGGGAAATATTGTTTGCAAAAGAGGCAAACATATGTCATTGCATAACTTTCTTTTTTGTTACGATCATTATGTGTTCTTTATCTTAACTGTTGTATGTTTCTTTTAATTAGGGCTTGGATTGCACGGCGCATGAAGTTGGACCAATGCTTGGAATTGCAGCTGTTCTACCGTGACTGTGAACAGGCAGAAAACTGGATGTCATCTAGGGAAGCCTTCCTATCCTCTGATGAAGCTGATGCCAAGTCAGACAATGTTGAAGCTCTTATCAAGAAGCACGAGGACTTCGATAAGGCTATCAATGCACAAGAAGAGAAGATTGCTGCACTCAACCTCTTTGCTGATCAGTTGGTTGCTGCCTGA